CTTTTTTCAATGTGTCCAATTTTTCAGAAAAAAGCAAAAAGGCATAAGTAAAAAAAGGGGGGGCATGGTTTCCACCCGAATTTTTCCTTTTTTTCCCCTCGGGCCTTCACATCTCTAGTTAGTATTTCGATGGGAGACCACCAGAGAAGTCTGGGGTTGCTATGCAGAGACGGGCACTGGCAAACCACCTCTGTTCATCCCTTGCTTTGAAAACCCGACAGGTTTGCCATAAGTTGGTTGCAGCTTGATGGGGGGGAGTATAGGTGCAAGGAGTTGTTTTTAATTGTTAAACTGTAAGTTTAATAAGCCTTTCTTTAAAAAAGTCTCTGTAATATGAAATTCAAAGGAAGGAAAATTCTGAGGGCTACTAGCAAGAGCTGAAAATCTGGCACAGTGAGTGGATATGTGCTTGGTTACTAAAGCCGTGCCAGTTTGCTTCAGCATGCGAGCCGGTACACAGTCTTAACCACCTAAAGGGCCCCACCTTTGGTTCACGCAGCAGCCAACCAGCTGCCCCTAGGAAGCCCACAGGCTGGATGACGGCAGCAGCATCCCTCATGCTCCACGGCCACTGATATAAAGAGTCGTGTCGCTGTCTTTTGCCTGGTGCGTCATAGATTTCTCCATGTGCTTGGTTGTGTGTGAAAACAAACCAAAAACCCCCAAAACAGTTCAGGATTTGGAATGAACTTCTGACACACGCTTCCTCTTCCTTTCCTCACTACCAAGCACGTGCTGAGCTGAAAAGGGACCAGGTAAATGGAAATATGAGAATGCCACAGAGGAAGTGGCCCCTGAGGGGACCGCCTTTCCCCACATGCTCCCCAGATAGCGCTGCGGTCAGGGTCCCAAAATCGACTGGCCCTCCCACGTCCCAAGGACTCTGGGCCAGGGCCTTTTTGGTGGCGGCTCCATCCTGGTGGAATGAGCTCCCAGAAGAGCCACCAGAGATTTTAAATTTGTTATACCATCTTTCTTTATGAAACTGCAATCTCCTTTGCTCTTCCACCAGGCCTTCAGTTAAGGAGCCACCGCCAACAACAACGGGAAGACATGGAGCCCTGTCCCCCGGTTTTGCCACCTATGCCCTGTGCCTGCCACATATATTTGGGAAAGTTCAATGAGCAGACCACTGAATACATTAATATGACTGCTGCCGCCATCTTTAAGCCACTGTATCACTATAGATCCTGCTAGCACTTTATGACACTGAATGGTTTTATATATTGAATTGTTTTTAGATGGTTTTATGATTGTCACAATTGTTATGTATGTGTTTTGTCTTCCACGTAAGCTGCCCTGAGCCTGCCTCGGCGGGGAGGGCGGGGTATAAATTGAACAAATAAATAAATAAAAAAAACTTTGAAGATTGCTAATTTGGCTCCCCCCCCCCCTTTCTGGCGCAATGTCTTTTATGCTGTTGGAAAATACTAAACTCACCCTGACCTGGATAGCCCAGGCAAACCTGATCTTGTCAGAGCTTGGACGCTAAGCAGGGTCGACTCTGGCAAGTGCTTAGATGGGAGACCTCCTTGGAATACCAGCAGTCGGGAGGTGGGGGCAGACTTTATTCAGCCACCTCTCTGAATATCCTCCAGGCCGCCAGTAGGGGTCAGTCACCAGAGGTCGCCATGACTTCCAGGTATGTACGCGCGCATACGCACGGACATACGAAAATGCTAAACTCTCACGATCTCTTGGGAAAGGCTTCAGAAAAAGGGAGAGTGTCTTGTTGCATTCCAGCATTCTCTTCACCTACTCATTTGCTTTCCTGTCTCCCGCTTCAGCTACACGAAAGCAACTATGACGCCGGCAAAGCCCTGCAGCGCCTGGTGAAGAAGCCCGTGCCCAAACTTATTGAGAAGTGCTGGACGGAAGATGAAGTGGTGAGGAATGCTCGCTTTTTCTCTCTCCCTCGGTCTCACTTAATCTCTCTTCTGGTCCACAAAGAATGTTTCTCTTCTTGGAGCACAAAGGGTGTTTCCTCTCGCTACAACAGGTGCAGGATTGATACCTTCGCACAGGGTTCCCCAACACAGTGCCTGTGGGGGCACCATGATGCCTGCTGACAACTTTCCTGGCGCCCACCAGGCATTTGTAGAAGGCAGGACGGGTTTTGCCCAGCAGGGCTTCTGGTTGGCCCCTGGAGATCTGATTGTAGAGAAAGAAGTACTTTTCTCCCTTTCTCACAAAACAAGAACTCGTGGGTACTCCATGAAATTGCTGAGCAGTCGGGTTAGGACCAATAAAAGGAAGCCCTTCTTCACCCAAAGAGTGGTTAATATGTGGAATTCACTTCCTACAAGCATGGACGGCTTCAAGAGGGAATTGGATAAACGGAGCAGAGGTCCATCAGTGGCTATTAACCATAAGGGATAGATAGGAACTCTCAGTCTGGGGCAAGTGATGCTTTGTATTCTTGGTGCTTGGGGGGGGGGGCAACAGTGGGAGGGCTTCTAGTGTCCTGGCCCCACTGCTGGACCTCCTGATACCCCCTGGTATTTTTTGCCACTGTGAGACAGAGTGTTGGATTGGATGGGCCATTGGTCTGATCCAACATTGGATTCTCTCATGTTCTTATACGTTCTTACATTCTTATTGGCTGTTCAAATTTCTAAAACGTTGCTTTGATAGCCGTTGGGTATTACAAGTTGAAAACGCTCAGTATATCTGGGGTTAAATGTTTGTTTATGTTACTCACAGGAAGTCACATGTTTCTCATGTAACCAATGTTCTTTAGCTGTAGAATGCCCGGGAATTTTCTCCCTGATCTAGGAATTTGATTGGGACTAAAGTCTCAAGGTATATTACCATTTTATGGCTTCTCTTCCCATCTTTGTTTGGTGTTCCGAAGAACAAGAAGAGTAGCCATACTCTTTCTCTTCTAGTTTTGTCTTTGTAGAGTAAGGATGTAGTAGATTTTGTTCTGTTGTTATTTTCATCCCAGTTACCCTTCCCATGCTAGAATTTAGTAAAAACTTTATATTTTAATCACACATGGACTCTGAGTCTGAATTATTTTACTCTAGCTCTGCTGGACCATCTTATTTCTGCTAAATACCATTTTTTCAATATCTCACTATCACCCAACAATAGCAGCTGCTGCCACAGCACAAGGATGTTCACTGTATTCCTAAAGATAAGCTGCGTCTATGCAAGAAAATGTTTTTAAGTAGCATGTTCATTTTAAGAGAGAACAGGGCTTTGGCCTGAAATGTTGAAGAATCACTATTAGAGTTATGCATGACCTCACTCCCCGAGATTTTGTGGCTGGCCCTGCGTCTTATGGCAGCCATTTTTGTGGAGGCAGCCACCATTCAGTGTCAGACTTCCAAAGGTTCCCGCAGGCTCAGAAAGTTTGGGGACCTCCACCTTCGCAGCTGGCATCCAATGTTCCCTGTAAGCTGAGTGAGTGTGAGCTAGCTCACAATTTTTTAGCCTCCAGCTCACAGATTTTTGTCTTAGCTCGGGAAAGATGGCTCCAGAGCAAACTGATTTATGCAGCAGCCAAATCGCTCACCCACAACTTTAATGCCAGTCGCTCAAAAAGTAGAATTTTTGCTCACAAGACTCCACAGCTTAGAGGGGGCATAGCTGGCATCTAATTAACCAAAGGAAAGTAGATTTTTACCCCCCGGCGGCATCTTCTGTCAAAAATATAAAGCTGGCTCCTTCCTGGGGAGGCGCTTCTGCAGTAGAGCTCTCAGGTGAGCGAGCTGCTCTTCCGTTGCCTCCTCCTGGCTTGTTTTGTTTGGGTATCAATGCAGGTTGCTTCAGGCAGCAGCTGGTAAATGGTGCGTCTGAACTGTTTGGGGACTGGATTGGCCTGTTGTCGTTCGTGTGTGTGTTCAGCTGACTTGGTGATCCCCTAGCACTGAGTAATTACGTGGCCGTGGCTCAGCAGCGGAGGACTCGCTTTGCCAGGCATCTCCTGCTTAAAGGATCTCGGAAAAGAGGTATGAAGGCCTTGCGCTGCCTGGGACTCCGGGGAGCCCTGCCACCCCTGGGTTCACCAAGGGTCCGACTCTGTGTGAGGCCGCTGCCTACCTGTGTTTCCATTTTCATATTGCACCTTTCCTCCAAGGAGCTGGGAGGTTGCATAGATGCTTCTCCCCTTCTCTCCACTTTGTCCTCACGAGAAGGTTTGTGGTGGTATCTAGGGCTAGGCGGAGAACAAACGACTGGCCCACCGTCAGCCAGGGAGCTCTGTGGCTGAATTGATCTGAGTCTTCCCCAGTCCTGGTTGGACACTTGTTTCATAGGGTCATGTTGGCCTGCAGTAGAACAGCTGCGCATGTGTCCAGCAGCACCTTAGAGATGAACAGGATCTTCGGGATTTCAGCTTTCGAGCGTCAGAGCTCCCTTTGTCAGATACCCAAAATCTTGTTTGTCTCTAAGGTGCTGCCGGACTTGAGTCTCATTGTTTCATACCTTTGTATCAGACCAAGCTGATAGTCAATACGTTTCCTGTTGCTTTTCCCGCGTCACTTCAGTTTTATTCCCAAGAGTTCACAGGGCTCTCAGTCAGTCAGTTTCTCATGGATCGGCAGATAGCAGAGAGTAAACAAATATATTACTGGGTGGGATCCGGAGAGCAGGAAATGGATTATTACAGCTTTTACCAGGAAAGATATAATACATAAATCTTGGTCTTTAGTCCTGGCCTCTATGAACCTACGGGCAATCTAGGGTTGCCAGGTCCGACTCAGGAAATATCTAGGGACTTCAGGGGTGGAGCCAGGAGCCTTTGGGGGTGGAGTCAGGAGCAAGGATGGGACATCCCTCTGGGGGAGCAGAGGGAAGAAGCACGATTGAACTCCAAAGGGAGTTCTGGCTGCTGTCACATTTAAAAGGACCGTGTTCCTTTTAAATGATTTTCCTCCACTGGAAATAAATGGAGGATGGGGGCACCTTCTTTTGGGGCTCATAGAATTGGACCCCGTGGTCCAACCTTTTTGAAACTTGGGTGTTGTGTTTTTGTTTTTTGAGGAGAGGCACCAGATGCTATGCTGAAAATTCGGTGCCTCTACCTCAAAAAAATACCCCTACCCTGAGCCCCAGAGCCCCACAGATCGATTCTCCATTATACTCTATGGGGACCGGTCTCCATAGGGTATAATGGAGCAGCCACCAGACATCCTCTCCCCCAGCGTTCTGATAACCCTGAAGTGGGGGGAGGGCCTCCAAACCAGGGGATCCCCTGCCCCCAACTGGGGATTGGCAACCCTATGGCTGGCGTCTCCCTACACACACACACACACACACACACACACACGCACACACAGCATGTGCCATCTCTAAAGGAGAGCTGAAGCTGGGGCTGGGGTGCCAGTGGCGACGGACAAGCAAGAGCCAGAAGCCGCTAGGTGAGAGCAGCTGAGCTGAGCTTGACCAGCCGCGACCCTCAAGCCGCACCTTGGCCAGCAAGTACCAAAGCAGCGATCGCCTGCTCCTTAGATCCCGCCTTCTCAGTTCTTTTAATTGTGGCCCCGCTCGCTCTCCGTAGATGCACGTCACTGCCGGCGCCGCTCTCCCGTCCCAAACGTTCCCCCTCCCCAGCTTATGCGCTGAAAGCTCTGCTGCTGTTTCGACTCCTGGCTTTGATCAACTCTCAGCCTGGGAAGACGGGGAGCGGAGCATTACGAATCAGAAAGGAAGGCAGAGGCACTCATTGAAAAAGGACGCCTTGCTCCCAACGAGCTGGCGCTGTGGGCATGCAAGAGCAGCCATCATTAGCGCTGCCCGTCGCTGTCGGCTTCGGCTCCGTTCTGTCGTCCCTTTTTGTGTGTGCGTGGTCCTGCTCTCCCCTCTCCCGCTTTACGGATGCCTTTGGCAGGCCTCCAGCTTCGGCAGAGCCGGACCCCCAGCTGTTCCTTTATTCATAAGGAGTTTTTAAAGCTCCGTCCTTAGAACTTTGCAAGCCTTGGGGGGTGGGGGTGTTGCGGGAGTTCTCTGATTGATAGCTGCACGCTAGACACTACTTTGTAAAGAAAAATGGGAACGCTGCCGGAGACCCCTGAGGTCCGTCCCTATACTGAGCCAGAGGGTAATCCAGGTTCAGAGCAGCACCTTTATTGACACATCTGAAAAAGGTTCAACAGCAGTTAGTGCAGTTCTCCAGGTGACCTCCTCTGATCCTGACCCGGGGTCCTTCTCAGTAGTGAATCCCTCCCTGAGGCACGCTAGAGGCCATCAGACACTCAAGTCAACCGGCTGAGCATCAAGTCCCCCCCTTCCCACGGCTATTGCCCCATCCGTCCTCTTTCTCTGCTGCCTGTGATCGCTGCCATCTCCCCTTCCTGGGATGTGGAATTTCTGGTTGAAGACCAGACAGCACTGAGAATTGGGCTTGAGCGAGGCAGGCAGGGAGAGAGTAACCATTTGCATTTGTATAGTGCTTTTTGCTCACCACGCAAGAGCCCTGTCGGGTAGGCCACAAATTATTATTATGCACAAATTGCAGACGTGGAACTGAGTGGGGTAGCCGAAGGCCCCTGGAGCAGGTGAGATATGTCAGTGCTCTTGAACGACAGCTCATTTGCTCAGCCAGTGAATAGAGACCATAACTGAGCAGGGCAGTATATACAGCTGGGTGCTCTTAAGAAAGAACTTGCATAGAGAGGAAGGTTCTTCATCTACGGAGTAAGAGTTAACAGTGTTTACTATCCAATGTCTCGCAAATTGGAGTGGAAAGCAATTCCCTTTTCTAAGAGATATATGCCCTCTGGATTAAAAAAAAAAAAATTGAACTGCAGGCAAACCTTAAACTGTATGTAAATGGGGCTAATCCAGCTAGAGGCAAGTCCAGTCATACCTTAGGGACCAACAGGATCTCCAGGGTGTACGCTTTTGACAGTCAGAGTTCCCAGATTCTGCGGCTGATCCG